ACATGGAGTGTTTTTTCATTCTTTTCTAGATATTCTACAATTTCATTTGCCATTTGTAATTTTTTTTTTATTTTGACTTGAACACTAAATCTAACTTCTCATTTCCTACATGCTTTGCTTTTGCAGTTATTTCCTTTGTTCTCTGGTATCATTCCTATCAGCATTAAACATGCTCATTTGTCTCTCTCTCAAAAAAAATTCCTCAGTAAACCTCAGATCTCTCTTCATTGCCCCATTTTTTGCTGCATTTTATAGCAAAATTCCTATAGAATTGTCTGAACATTGTCTCCATTTTCTAACCTTGCTCTCTTTTCAATACAGTAGAACCTGATTCTCATCCTTATTCCACTAAAACTAGTCTTAATGACACTACCAGTGATCTCCTTCTTGCTAGATCTGAGGATCACTTCCCAGTCCTGACTTCATGTCATCACTTAGCAACATTAGGTCATGTGAAGAGTCTTCTTTAAATCCTTTTTACCCATGGCTACTAGGATAAAATACTCTCCTGGGTTTCCTATTACATCCAAATCTCCTCCTTCTCAGACTCACCAATCTAATAAGCTTACCTCAGACTATTATGTGATGAAAAAAATAAGCTTTTATCTTATAAATATCATTACAATTTTGGGGGTCTCTTTTTTATAGCATTTTAACCTTTTATCTGAACTGACATAGAAACTGGTACCACAAAGGATATCTTAACAAAATCCTCATTTTTTAGTGACCAGGCAGGCATGTAGTAGAGAGATAGGCAAGAAGATAGAATAAAGAGTTTGTTACTGTGCTTATGATGGACTATCACTGATGATATGATCTGAGCACAGTTTTAGAAGGCATGTCTACAGCTGCTGTGTACAGGATAGAAAACTGGGGACCTTACACTATTTCATAAATCCATTACCTACAATCCTACCCACCTATAATATCCAAATCAAGGGAGTGTAGTTGTAAAAAATGTTAGCATATTTTTCTGCTTCTTGATGTTTTTAGTAAGGTATCATAAGAAAGAAATGCATTCAAGCAAGAATTGGTTGCTTTGTAAGTAGAAATGGAAATATTCAGAAACTTAAGGACTCCCAGGGTTTAAAAAGACAGCTGCTTTTATGTCTCAAACATTATTACAAATAATGGGATCCAACCTCATAGCAAGGATCAGAGTTAGGGTGTTGTCCTCTGAAACAACCCTGTTTCCGCTAGCCTCAAGGTGGTCTCCATTAAGATGAGAGTAAGGTAAGGTTACAAGGAAACAGAGAAATGAATCTCAAGAACTAGCACTAGGAAAGACTTTGGTTGTGGTTATCTGCACAGGAACTGACTGGAAACAATTAGATCAGAAACTTATTAAGGTTTTAAGTAAATCTAGTTGCCACAGAAACCATGAGTCTGGCCTGGAAATGTCTGTCTCTGTTAGTTCCTTAAAGCAACATTCAGACCTTCAAACTTGTGCTAGTAGAAAAGGGGTTAGAAGTGCATTACAGACCCCAAAGAGGACATATGCTCTATCAGTCATTTCTAATGTGACTAGAAAGGATTATGGACCAAGTAGCTCCTCTAAGAGAAGCAGGCTGACCAGACCATCTGACTATGGTACTTCCTCAACTGCCAGAGCAGTCACCATAATTTTTACTCAGCTGGGAGTTGAGGTTGCTGTGAATAAGCAGCAGTAACCTTGTGCCTATGTCACCACACTATATGTATAGCTTGTTCAACATTTTTCATGGCATGAGCTATGAGAAGTCATTTCAGAACCCAATAGAGAAAATGCATTGCCTGAATACTACCCTACCTGCATCCTCATGTGACTCTCTCCCTTACTTCATTCAGTCACTGTTCAAATATCAGCTTTCCACAGATGACCACACCACTCATCAAAAGCCACATCTTTCCTCCTTTCCCCTCAGGGGCATGGAGGTATAAGCCAGTAATGCCAGCACTCAGGAGGCAGAAGCAAGAAGATTGTGAGTTAGAGGCTAGCCTGGGCTACATAGTGAGACCCTGTCTCAAAAACTAAAAACAAGCAAAAATACAACCTCAACACCTTCTATTACCTTAACCTTCTTTTATGTTTTCTCTATACCTTTTTCTTCTTTTCATAGCACTTACTGTCTTGTTTTCTTATTGCAATATAAGCTCTTTCAGGGCAGGACTTAATCTTGTTCAGAGCTGAAATCCCAGGTTACCCGGGAATAGCTGATACATTTAAGCTAATGATAAATATTTATTGGAAAAAAAAAAGACTAAATAACTAAGAGGTTCTAATTTCCAAATGTCTGGATTAAGGTTTGTTTGATTCTATTTTGTGATTTCTCTGCATTATACTGTAACCAAAGGCAGATAATTATTTGTGCCTAAAGAAATTGGAATTACTATTTAAAAGTATCTACAGTGGTAAGGAAATCCAACCATTAGTTTGTCCTACTGGGTAAGTAGTTACTGCTAAAAGCAAGACATTTGATCTCATTCTTGCTTTTTTGTTTTAAGACTGACAAAGTGAGGCTGGAGATGTGGCTCAGTGATAGCTTGCCTAGCCTGTGTGAGGCCTTGGGTTTGATCCCCAGGATTAGAAAGGAAAAACAACAACAACGACAAAAAACAAAAACTGAGATAGTGAAATTTTACACTGCTTTACACCAGCACAAATAACTGGCTTAATATTGGAATTGCTTTAGTTTCCTTATGCCCTGATTCAACAAAGACTGATAGAATTAGCTACTGTTTACTCCAGGGAGAGCCTAAAGTTCACTAGGGTTCAATTCATTCCAATCCAATCTATTTAACACTGCATTTGAGCCTTGTCCAAGTCAGTGTGCTAAGCACAAAGACATAGTGACAGGATAGGTACTGTCCTTGTCCTCTTACTGATTAGACTAGTGTCTCAAGGGAGTGGTAGAGAATTATAACACAATGCTATTGCTAGTCTTCAGATATGCAGGTTATAGAAGTACATACAACAGGAGTTAGCCAAGCAAAAAGTCAGAAATGGTTTTCTGGTAAGTGTCTGCTAAACTTGGACCCTCATTTGTCCAAATGAGGAAGGAAGATGAACGGAAGCCAAAGAAAATACATCAGAAGACAGGGAGAGGTATGCAGATGGGGCATTGCACTTTTGCTTTACAATATTCTCACCCATTACTCTTCGTCCTTCCCTTCTTTCCCCAGGTTTTTAACCTGTAGGTAAGTTCCCTTTTCCCCATCCTCCATTGTGCTAGTGGAGCAGATTTGTAAATCCAATACAGGAACCAATAAACAAAGACAACTAAGGAGTAACCAGTGGGGCCTGGAACCAAGCCTACATTACACTTACAAAAATTTGATTTTCTGCAAAAAAAAATATTTTGACTCTTAGATGTTTGGACTTCATTAGAAGGATCTGAAATGGATGACACCAAGCTGTTTGCCTAAAATAATGCCCCCAGCCTGAATTGGCATTGATATTTCCTAAGATTAAAATAGAAACTTGTTTTGCTAACAGAAAACAACTTGGAAAATCAAAGAGTCATTTAAGTTGGGACTATTATTTTTCCTTTTCTTACAGAATATTCCTGTTTTTACACACATTGAGAGATCAGGATAGTAAGGTTGCCTTGCCACAGAACTTCCATTAACTATTTGAAGATGCAGAAACCTCAAAAAAGAAAAAAATGGAGAAAAAAAGTTTGTCATGTAGCACATTCATTCAACAAACACTTAGGTCCTATACAAAGATACCTGCCATTGTAGAGTTTACATTCTAGCAAAAAGAAGACAAACAAATGAGAAATGAGCATATTACAAAAAAATAGAAGATCGTAGTATGGAGAAAAGACAAAGTAGAATGTGGCAGGGAGCATCAGGAGGGAGCCAGGTGCAACTTAAAATAGAGTGGTTATGGCTGGCCTCAGAGAGGTTATATGTGAACAAAAACTGAAAAAGTGGGGGTGTCAGCTATGTAGGTAGTGTGGATCTAGGGGGAGGAAACAGTTAATGGCCACAAGGCCAGGGCATGCCTGGAGGGTGCCAGAAAGGCAAGGAGGTGTGGACTGGGGGAGGAAGGGGACTAGAGAGCCTTTAGGAGGCAGGATCTGAGAACATGAATGACTTGATGGAATTTATGTTTTTTAATTTTAGGATAGCCGTGTATTTTCATTTGCACACATTGTTTAAAAAGATAAACTTTTTTACTCTGCATCAACAAAGCAATGATTACTTACAATTTTCGCCTCCAGATCAGGCACCACAAGACTACTAAATAGTAACAGCCCTTCATCTCTGGTGAGCACTTGTCTCTAGAAGCATGCATAGCCCTATCCGAACTTGTTTGGAGTTGAGTTGGAGGCTCTAGAAACACTCTGCACGTTTCTTCTTCAAAACTCCACTAGAGAGTCAAACATTTCTTTCAGTTGGTTACAAAATTTAAATATATACATACATACATACATATATGGCTTTGCCAACTCTGTGGGAGAAGCAAACTCCCAGTTTCCCTTTGCTAATCTGTCCAAGTCCTGCTGTGGTTTCACTAAATGGAGACACTGCTCAGCTCCAGTCGCACAAACGTTGTCTCCCATCTTGGGTTTCTAGGCCCTCGGGAGAAAGCTGTGGTTCGCCACTTTGATCACCACCTGTTGGGGCGAAAAACCTTTCTTCTCCGGCTCCCCCTTTCCTGCACAACACCCCGTTTTCCCTCTCCCAGGCGGGGCTTGTAACTTTTCTCTCCACCTAGGGCTCGCCCAGCTAGGTTGGCTCTGGGGAGACGCTGCCTGCCCGCAGCGCCCCGCCCCGCCCCGCTCCGGAGTTGCCCGAGCTGCTGGGCCCCCGGGAGGGGCGGAGAACCCCCCACCCGCGCGCCAGGCGCACGCGCCCCCTCCCGCCCGTCGCGCCCCTCCCTGCGGGCGGCGCGGCTCCCCCCGCAGCGCCTCCTCTCGCGGGCAGGGAGCGGGAGGGGGCCCGGCAGCCGCTCCGCCGACCTGCTCCCGCTGCTCTCCGCGCCCGCCTCGCTCCTCCCAGAGTGGCAGCGGGAGCCGCAGCCCCGGCGACAGGGGTTCCCGGACTTGCAGTTCCTCGGGAAGGGGGAGCCAAGGAGGCGGGCGCGGCCAGCACCCCCAACCTGCTCTGGAGCGCAGCTGCTCTACCCCGGGACCCGCCACCCAGCATGGCTTTCCTCCTGGCGCTGCTGCTGGCGTCCTCGCTCTACCTGCAGACGGACGCCGAGTTCGACGGGAGGTGAGGTGGCCCCCTGGGCGCCCTCTCCTCCTTCCCGCGCGCGGGGTTCACTGACTGACTCCCCTTGTCCAGAAGTTGAGCCACCGTGAGGCCTCGCGGGAGGACAGTCGTGGAGCCACACCGGGGGGCCTGCGGGAGGAGGGAGAGGGCGCGCCCTGTTTGTGTCCGCGGTTCCCCGAGGGTGGCTGTGCGGTGGGGCGAGCCGCTTACCCTTGCTCCCGGCTCGGGAATTAGGTTTGGGGAGGGGGGTGGGGAAAGGCCCGGGCCTGGGGTCTCAGGTCTGAGGGCGCAGGTTAGCTGCTTGGACACCGGTGATGTGTGCGACATGCCTTGACCCGGCTACTAGCACTTGTTTTAGACGACGCTTCAGAGGGGAACTTCCAGGGAATCCCGCGAAAGCCCGGCTCGGGGGTGTCAGGGCGGCTCACCCAAAGGGTGGGGGCGCGGACGCCACTGGGTTGCGTGGGTGGGGGGGGAGACCTGTTGGTCCCCCTACTTTGGATTTGTTGAGGGAGGGGGACTCAATCCAAGGCCTGAGAGCGGTCGCTAGGGGAGTGGAGTGCGAGTGAGGATGTGCGCTGGAGGGGAGCGCACGCCGCCCTGCTGCTCTGCTCGCGCCGCGCCAGCCTGGCTGCTGCGTGCTCTGACAGGTCCCGAGTGCCGCGGCACAGGCTCCGCTGTCACTCAGCGTGTCCTCCCGCACCCTCTCCGCCCCGCCGACGCGCGATCTGTTCTGGTGCGGGTGCGAGCGGCAGTGGAAGGGCGTCTCGGGTCCCTCATCCCGGTTGATGGCTGCTGCTGGAGGGGTTTTGCCTTGGGTCACACAGCCAACCCAGTCGCCCTCTTCGAGCTCCCCCCACCCCAGCTCCCGTGTCCCTGCATAGCCCTGAGGATGCCGCACCTGTTTTACCTGCAATCTTGAAACTAATCAATTCCACGATTAATAGCTGGCTTTCTTGTACCTGCGGGGGAAGCAGTGGAGCCCTGAAGAGAAAAGCACAGCTGTTGGTTTACCACCTGGCGGGAGGAAATTGAAAGTGGGGTTATTTTGTACTTTGGGCCTGGGGGTAGGAGGTCAGGTATAGCAAAAGGAAATTGAAAAGATAAAGAGTTTAAGGAGAAGTGGCCTTTTATTTTGGAAAGCAGTGTTTTGCCCACATTTGGGTATGTTGTACATTTTTGGGGGCCGGCGCTGGTGCTTGAACTCAGGGACTCACACTAGCTAGGAAAGAGTTCCACCACTTGAGCCACTCCACCAACCCTTTTTTTTGTGTTGGGTATTGTCCAGATAGGGTCTCATGAACTATTTGCCTGGGCTGGTTTTGAACCATGATCCTCCTAATCTCTGCATCTGAGTAGCTAAGATTACAGATGTGAGCCACCAACATCTGGCTGATGTGCATTTCTTGCACACATATTTACAACAAGAAATGCTTCCTGTCATCGGCACACAATTTATATGTGCCTTTAAAGAGATTTCTAAAACAGTCAATGAAAATATTGATCTACCTGTGTGGGTGGGGGGGGGTGGAGGGAGTCATATAGGTGTGAATCTAACCAAGGAAACAATTTAGCCAATATGGTGTCAAAGAATAATCTGGGGGGTAAATCTGTATTCTGAAACTGAATACTTTCTTTGGGCATTGTATACATTAGAGAGGAAAATAATAATTGTTGATGCAGGCAAGTTTCAAACAATGACACTTGAGACATTAGCTACACTTTAAATTCTCCTTAGTTTTATTTAGACTTCTTTTTCTAGTACTTTTCTTTCCAATTGTATCTCCAAAAGATATAAGTTTCATTTGAATTTTGAGGAACCTCCTCTCATTCCTTCCCCCATCTGCCCTTTATTTGAGGCAAAAATTCTTTCTGCTTTGATAGGTCTCATATTATTTAATACTTTTCAGTTTATGATGAATCAGTCCAAACTGGCCCTCCCCACCATCCCCAGTAACAGGTGTGAGTCTGAGGAATCTGTTTTATTTCAAGCTTAAACCCTGTGAATGTAAGTTTTGTGAATTTTTGTTTTTAGCTGGTGCTAATTCTAGTTAAGAAAGGATCTCCACCCCGCCCCCCATCTTTTCTCCCCTACCCTGTGTGCTGGGGGTGTGTCTGCAATTTGAAATTAGATCATAGAAGATCATGAAGGTGTTCTAATCTTAAATTTCTGTAGGCATAAAGGAGTTTGTTGGGTGTGGTTTAAAGTTTTTCTAAACTAATAACAAAGAGGAAATTATTTTTGATCTCAAGTGTCTTTATTTATTTTGAATTTGTTTGTTTGTTTTGTAGGTGGCCCAGGCAAATAGTGTCCTCCATTGGCCTGTGTCGTTATGGTGGGAGAATTGACTGCTGCTGGGGCTGGGCTCGCCAGTCCTGGGGACATTGTCAACGTGAGTATCAGGTCTGAGGACTTTGGTTCCCTCTGTTGGTGGGGTTTCTAAGATGGTTCATGGCTTTCCTCCACACATTAGTGGGCTATGCAGCTCTGGCATGAGTTTTCAGATACAGTCTCAAGCTCCTTATTCTCATTCTGCCCCCTTTTTAACCTGTGCCACCTGTATTAAGGTGCCAGCCTTGTCACTTACAGAGAGCCACCTAGAGTGTTGTTCATTAAGAATTTGTCACCAAATATCTCCAGTTCCTGTGTTCTATCAGGCTTACTCCTTTCTTTGCTCTAGGCTCTGAGATGGGGGTAAGATATGAGTCTAGACTTTATTTACACTAAATAAGCTTAGAGCTTTAGAGTACTTATAAAATCCTCACCATAGCTGTTGTGTAAAGTGGCCCATTTATAAATCTTTTTATAAAAAGAGGTTGTATTGACAGTGTTCTACATGGACCACCTCATTATAATCAGAGAAAACCTCTGGAAAAACATCATTTGTGAGTTCAATAGTTAATCAAAATCATGTACTAAGTGCCAAATCAGAACACTGACTTCTACTTTTTGCATGATTAAAATGGCTTATTTTATGGTAAAATTCACAACCACATAATAAAAGTTTGAGAAATTTAGGAAATTTGTTCCCAAATTTTACCTTAGGTCTGAATCTCAAAAAAAAAAAAAAAGATTCCAAATGATCAAGTGAATTTCTCAGGCATCTATGGCGTGCTAGGTACACACATCTGGTGAGATAATGTCCAAAATAATGCTTTATCACTAACAAGAAAGCTGATTGGAGGAACAGAGAGGGGTAGTTAAGGCTAGAACTGGCGGTGGGGGAGTCTCCCTTCAGTGGGGTTGGCAGTACGGGAGGAGTCAGGCAAATTTAAGTTCAAGAAAGTTCAGCTATTTTAATTATTAAGAATGCTTACGTACTTACCCTTAACTTGGTGACGTAGGGAAAGTGACAGTTACAGGCTGTTATCTTTGGGGTGGGAAGTGAAGGGGTGTTTGTTTATCAGCTATGTGTAAGCTACCAGGCCACACTTTTGACAGGTGTGTCATTGCCTGCTGTTAAGGAGAGATGGTCTAACTCCTATTTCCATTAAATGAAAGAACTAGGCCAAGTTACCATGCACTTGTTAATCTATCCATCGTTGTTTTTTAAGGAAAGATGGTCAAAGAGAAGAATAATACCTGGTAGAGTTTAGACTTCTGCAAATTAGATCACAATACCAGAGGTAGTTACATACCTGGAGGCTAACAGGTGTGGAATTTGATGAACCATCAGGTTGTAATAACCAGCGAGTAAAGAGAGGATACTTCTCTTGGCCCAGTACATAGGAAAAAACATGTTGTCTCTTTGCAGGGATGGGGTTACTTTGCTCCTTCTTTGCTGCCGTAGTTTGCAGGCAACTTCTAAATCTAATATTGCAATGCTTTGAGGTCCATGCAGTCTCCCAACCCCACCCAAGGCTGCATTGGCAGGATGCCCAGGGCAGCAGTAAAGAGTATACCTTCCCTGAAGGCAGAGATTAGGGTTCTGTAGGCTCTGCCAGGTGTTCTTTAAGAATTCCAAGGAGAAAACTCCTTCAATCTCTGAGAGCTTCAGTGACTATGGAATTCCCCAGGAAGCACCTCTAGGAGCTGTTCTATTTCTCTGTATCAAGTAATTAAATTTTCTCTAATATGTACTCGCTTGGCAATTCTGAATTTTAATGAGTGCAGAGATCTTTTAAAGTTACAGTGGCATTATAAAAATTTAACCATCCAAGAGATTTCCTAGCATTTTTACTTTCTGTATAAGTAGTTTTCCTCCCAGATGTAGGACACCATTTTTATTACTTTTACATCTTCATTTTGTTTCCAGAAGAATGAAAAATGGTCAAATATAATGTCTTTTCCCTTTGTTGTTTGTTATTCTTCAAGAATCTGAGGAAATTGCAGCATGGAGTAAATTAATTATTGAAATAGTATTGTTATAAAAATGTATATGATGGTTTTGCATAAGTCACAGCTTATTAGATTATGTGAAAGTCTAAGAGCCAGTGTAATGGAGGACAACATGGACTCTGGTGCTAGGCTGCCTGAGTTTAAATTCTGGTTTGGCCTCTTCTTGGCTGTGTAACCTTGGGCAACTAATTCAACTTTTCTGTGCTTTGTTTTCCTCATGTCTACAATCAATCTAAAATAGTACAAACCTCAAAGATTATAACAAGGTTTAAATGAGTTAGAATTCATAAAGCACTTTAAAATGATTCTTGATGCTGACTAAATACTAGATATCAAATATTATGTGTTCGGTAAAGGTAAAGGAATATTGCTTCTGAAACAGTTATGAGAAAGAAATGTCTGTGCTATCAGGTTCTTTGTTCATTAGACATGATAAATGTACTTTTTACACTTATATTTCCAAAATTAAAATGAGTTCCAAGATTCTCTATTCCAATAAAATAGAATTCCTTTAAATTAAAAAAAGAACCAAATAGTTCTTTATCATTAACATAGAAGATGGCAAGGTTGTAAATACGAATTCAGAGATGCATGTGTTTTTCTGTGTGTTTTATTTTTCCAGAACCTTAGATGGCCCCAGTGTCTCTTGTCAGTTCAGAGTTCTGCCTGTCTTTGTTTTGATATAAACAGGTAGAGGAATGTGGAGGCAAGAGGTCAGCTCGGAGGGGTATGCTAGTCCCCCAAAGAGGCTTCTGGGATGAATGGAATATTTTGAACACTCTTGATTATTTTTTGAAGAAACCCTTTATAAAATTAAAAGTTTTATCACTCCATTAATTCAAGGAAAATGCTTTGCTGTTCTAAAACAATTAAATTTGGTAAAGGATACCTATAAAAATTCAAAACAACGTCTAGGAATTTTAATATGAAAAATATTTTTGGCTTTCTGACTCTTAGATAATCTGAATTCTTTTCCACAAGGAGCAGTCTCCTTTCCTTATCAAAGATGTCCTAGTTCTCTTCTGAATGATTCAGTTTGGAATTTTTCTTCAAAACAGCATAGCAAAGCAAAAGAAAACTATTTCCACCTGTGCACAGAACCTTTGTTTATCTCTTAGAAGGTATAAGAGGGAAGTGAGGTCTGTCTTATGTTATCTGCTAGATTTTATGCCCCTTTGTCCAGTGATCCTTTGGTGAGTGTCTCTTCCATTTGGCTGAGCATTTCTGGGAGGTTTTGACCCAATATTTATGTGAGTCAGATATACACGCTGTGTTTCATTTTTACTTGCTATCCTCCTTTGGAGGATACTCTGTGGACTTTGGAGAGACTCGCATTGCAGGATCCTACAGTTGTGGAGTTTCCCCTTCTGGTTTTCTGTGTTTAGCCACAAAGCCATGTTCAGCTGGGGGACTTTCCATCCTTGCCTCTGGGACTAAGAAAGGATCAGAGATGTAACTCAAATGGGTATACAGTCTGTCCTCCTGCTTCCTGCCTGTACTACCCAACATTCTATCCCAACATTCCTGCCCTGCTGGGAAAACATGACCCATTCCAGAAATAGGCCAGGTTGTGTTTTCATAGTTCTTGCATAGGTCATACCCTTGGCTTCTTTCTATTCTTTGATTCTTTATTTTGTCTTCTTGACTCATAAATAGATCTCTTGCATACTGAAAATTCAAAATTAATTTTTTAATTATCTCAAGATTTACTTTTATTGAATGTTAATGTAGCTCTTTATTGTCAAGTGAAATTTTCTTACTATGTTCACACACCGATGGTTACATACTTATAGTACCTCAGTCACTCAGAGATTGTCACAAAATATTTGTTTCTTGCTCTGTAACTATTCTGTTCCTTAACTTTTCCATCATCTTAATGGCACATTTCATTTTAGTTATATTAACTATTTCTCTCCTCCTGCCATGTGAAGACTCCTATAATAGAGATTTCTCAGGGGTTGTATAGATTTCATTTTAAAAGGCTATGTGTAGGCTATTGAAACAATTCTTAACTAAAGGCACTAGATAATTTGGGACATCTGAGTTCAAGCTCTGACTTTTGTTCCTGATTACTTAGCTGACAATTTTTTTTAACTACAGTATTATTTTAAGAGCAGATTTTCAAGGTACACTGTAGCTTTAAACTCCATCTGGGAACTTATTTAATGGAGAATAGAATAGATAGGCTCTAGACACTGTGTTCCTCCATAGTTGTCTTTTTGTTTACTTGAAGATTTGACTGTACATGGCTTAGGACAATAGCATTTTTGCTGAAAGCACTTTTTTAGAGATGTGAAGAAAAACTCAAAATACAGTTAGTTCCAAATTTCAACAAAGCTATTCACCTTCTGAGTTCTTTGGCTGTTGGTGAAGAACTTGTATTTTCTGAAGGAAATGATGTGAATTAGGATACTTTCATATCTTTTATCCTTAATACCAGGAAAATGCAGGTGTTTTATTACGTGTCTGCTGGAGATTTTGGAAAGATGTAAAAACCCACTTCTACAGATTGATTTGCTTTATTAGTTCTGACCCTCATTTTCTTGAAGTAAAGGCTGCAGCTCTACAAAGGTCATGTAAAGTGGAAATTTTAGATTCTTAGGAGTTTTAGGTAAACTTATAGGCTAGTGAAGGACAGGAAATAATAATTGAAACTATTTTGGAGTCTTCAAATAATTTCAGTTGGATAATGTATATTGCTGGCTAATGGTTGTGTACATTGGAAAGAATGGGAAAATTATTGAATTCTTTCTGCATTTCAAATGAAAAGACTGTTAGTTGAAGCACAGAGTTTTGCTTTGATAAATTAAGTATTTGAATTTCATGTTTAATTTTCTTATATCTGAGTTCAGAATCTTAATCTTCTATAAGGAATATGATTTATTAATTTTTGTTTCCTACACTGGACAATGACTTCCTGTCCATAGTCATAAAATTATATAGATTATATCTTTAATTATATAGATTTTGAACACTGTCTTTCAAAAAATAAAAATATAATCAATTTTTTCTTCAGGGTACTGTGTATGGAATGCAGAGCCATACACACATGAG